TATATATATATATATATGTTTTTTGTAGAGGGCTATGTCCAGAAGAAATGTTTTGAGAATACTAGCTGGAAAACAGACTAGAAATCAGCTGTAATCTACCATGTCTGTCTAATCCACCTACAAGATGTACTTCCCCCTCCCAATGGAGCCTGGTCTCCAGGTTTGAACTGCGGTATTGTTTTTCTACCTCTGTCTCAGGGCAGTTCCTCACCCTATCGCCTCCATACCTGCACAGGGCTGGATGCTGGGCACTGGAAGTGGTGCTTCAAGGGGCTATGGAGCCAGTTTCATCCCCTTGGAGCTCAGCAGTGGGAGGAAGCTAGCAAAAAAGTCACCACAGAACAGCTCACCCTCAGCAAATTTTTTAATTCACAATTTAAAACACACAACTGAAAATAAAAAATCTAACTTTGTGATCTAGCCTCATTACACTACGAGGCAGTACTTGAGCATTTAGTAGTCACCTAGAATTTAAGTCTTTCCAACCCTTCATTCTTAGCTGAATTTCCATTAATTTCCACAGATCCCAGTACTTTTGACAGTGAAGTTGCACTTTACTGTCAAAATTGTGACAAATGCAGCAGTCTTAAAGAAAGAAAGGAACAAGCAGAGAGGAAGGGCAACTGTAAATCTTATTCTCAGCAACTGCTCTAAGATAGCTGATAACTGAAGCCCCCAGGTCCTCCTCCGAAACCAGTAATACTACAAAATAAATCATGCATAGTCATTTGGTAGAGCTCTGCCATTAAGCATTACTGGTATACATCGTCTTTATTACATAGAAACAGACTAGCATCCTTGATGATTATATTTAAAGCCCTTCAGTTTAACTTTGGGAAATGCCAAGTTAGGCAAGAAGCTACACCAGGATGGAAGCACTGAACTAACAGCATGCACTGTACCTAGAAACCAGCTTTGGATGCCGAATAAAAACGTAACTGAGCTGCTTCACACAGACTGATGAAAGTCAAAGCAACACCTTCTCTAATTGAAAATTAAACAGAAAATACAGTACATATAGACCATGGAAAAAGAATGTATTAATTTATTTTAAAGCTGTATTTAACACTTTCAAGAAAGAACAAGCAAGAACAGGGAGACACAAGGACCTATTTCTTCAACCATTGTATTAGTATAGGATCACTGAAAATACTGCTGTTGTAGCATACTAGGAAACAAGTACTTTGACAGGTTTTTTGTATTCATGTGATTTACTAATCATGTGAAGAAAATAGGTTTTTTTTTCCCCCCTCTTACCCACCTGAAGTACAATGATATAGAGATTATGTTAGTATCACATCCTTTGAGTATTGAGAACACACTTGCTACATTTTTAAACCAGATAAACTGAGCAACTTACCTCCATTAATGTTTCCCTCAGATTTAATCTTTTTTCTATAAGTTGGCCATGTTCCTTGAGGAACGTGCAGAGAAACAAACTGAGATTCTGAATGAAGTTCTGTTCATCATCCTTTCCATTTGAGTATGCAAGTCGGATATTGGTATTTAAAGGAAGCATCTAAAAAAAGAAGAGACATAATCAAGAATTTCTCATTTCATACAGAAGTGGAGCTACCCTTTATTAATAAATAGTTTGCTCTTTTGGCAAAAAGCGCCTTGTTTTTCGTGGCATCCCCTCTTTACAGAGCTTTCTTACAAAAGAGTCTTACAGCTCCTTCATTTCATGCTTGATCCCAAGATGGACAGTAAGGTGAAAACACACACAGATAACAAAAGTTCTGATGAACTAAACCTTTTTCCACCCCTTGTAACAGCAACTGTAAACAAGGAAAATATCTGCTCTGTCACAGATATTTCCAACTGGCATTGGCCAAAGATGTTCCAAAAAATGTGTTTGTTAACTGACCCTAGTAACATTAAGTTTCAAAACATTACACTAAAACAACATGACAGACCTCCTCCTTTAAAGTCAACACTATTAAGCTATAGAACAGAGAAAACAAAGTTTAACACTTTTGCTGCTGCCAGCTTTTGTGTGTTTTTGATTGTTCTCCAACTTCATTTTTAAAAGTTGAGTGTCAAATATTTGCAATAAACGCAACAGTTAGCATCAAATTCATACTCAATAGTCACGCTAAAAACCTGCAGGTTGCAAAACAGGCCAAACACCCAACTTGGCATTCAACTGATGTTTTGAGGAAAAATTTAGGTCAGATATATTGGCATTTAGAATCAAGAGCATCACCTGTAAAAACTGCGGAAATAATGTTCAGCTGCCTAATACACAAAACTTTGGTGTGTTCAGAAATCTGCCCTTAAATATAACTAAGTAAAAATCCTATAGCACCACTTGAAACTGGAGGGGAACAGGGGTATTAAAAGAAGCATGCCTGTTCTAAAGAACCTATAAAATGGACCAACATTGCAAACAGAGGAAAAAATTATCAAAAAAACCCCCCTTGCAACTCTTCACTCAAGATGCAAATACAGTGAGGAAAGCTACAAAGTCATGTACCTGAATCTGAACTGCTCAGAGGGTAATCATCAAATTACATATATTTAAAGCACAGCTTTGTATGACAAACATTTCGATCAGTTTCAAAAATTAAATAGCAACTTGCAGAAGTTAAGTCAGTTTAGGTCCTACTGAGTCATGCAGTACATGTTTTGTTGCATCTCTCTCAACATTCCCCATCAGACAGCCCGAGTGCTCAGAACACCTCTTAAATTAATCAAAACCAATCAGTGCAGCATAAATACAGCTATGACCTGGAGTCAGGAAAATACACTTAGCATCTTCTGATCAAGTCATAAATATCACTGAAGAACAATATTTATTATAGACTTCTTATCAAGAGCTCTATAATGCATATAGATTTGTAAACCAAACTAGATTCTACAGAAACTGATTCTGCAAAATGGAACACTGAAGAGACAGTTTTATTAAAAACATTACCTGTTTTAACTGCATCATGGTCAATGTAAAAAGTGTTACAAACTGTTCTTCATACTGGCTTACACTGACACCTGCGATCTCTGTGAGGCACTTCAAAGAGACGTTTCGAAACATGGGAACATTTAAGAACTATTGGGGGAAAAAAAAAGTATTACAAGCATGTTGCACGCTAAGCTTTTTTGCGACTTACATTTAAATTTATGAGCCACCAACTTTTGCGTAAGTACCTTGTATATTAGTGTGCTGATTAACTTGGTCTCAAATATATATCCCAGAGGAATCCAGTTCAGAAACCGTAGCAAAGTTTCCAAAGTTGCATGAACTAAGGGAGCATTTTGGGAGTTTTCCTGTAAACAAACGTTAATGTTTATGATATTGTTAGGCATGATCGGAGGCATTTTTTAAAATATCATTAAAGATATAACACTTACCATCACAAACTGACACAGTTGAAATATCTGAGAGAACTCATTGCACATGCTGTAAAAAAAAAAAAATTTAAATTCAGCATTTCCACATTCCATAAACAATTCTATCTACTTTAATAAAACTTCTATGCTCGCAAAACAGCTCCTCAAGACCTGTGTCCATAGAGGCATTCACAGGCCAACTGGCTTTTACCAATTTCCATGGTAATAATGCATATTTTGAAGTAGTTTAAAGCCTGTGTCTGCAAATTCTGGCTTGAAAATGCAAGCAATGCTGAATGTTCTGTTAGAACGTAGGACCATCAGTCCACAGATGCTACTTGCAGTATGGTAGAAATATCTGTGTGTACAAGTTTGGTATCACCCAACAGCAGTGCTTTAAAGGAAAATCAGCAACCCACTCAGTCTCAGAAGTAAAATTAGACAGTTGTAGGTGTTCACTCAAAAGCTCAAACCAAGAGCAGCTATTTAGCAGCAAGCACAACATCTACCCTGTTTACTGAGATTTAAATATATATACTTGCCTGTCTTTCAAATGCTTAGCTTTTACTTGAGTAATCTGGCCACTGGAAAAATCAAACACTTCTTCACTCAATAGTTTAAGGATGACCATATTATTCTGACAAAGGCTTTCACTAGTTCTGCTTGCTCCCACAATATCACTTATAAAAGTTGGCCAGTGCTTTGGCCATTCTTGTTTCAGTATCTGAAAAGTGAAGCATCCATACGTTAGATACATACACAAAGCCAAACACTTCATAACAAGATTTAGAACTTTATTAAACTCTAGCTTACCTGAACAAGAATCATATTGAGTTTCCCAATATACACCTTCTCCTTCTGGAGAAGAAAAGAGAAGTCAGGTTATGCATAATATTCCCCTCCCTTTTCCTCCCCCAAAAAGAATTCACTTACTTCTACACATGTTGGATCAGATGAGGTCTTGATAATTAGGCCAACAACATATTTTTTAATACCTGCAGAAGAGTTAGGAATTCATTTTCAACTATACCAAATATGATGAATGTAGTAACAAATACTTTTGAATTTGTATTCTTCATTTTTTTAAAACGAAACACCTCTAAAGAACATATATGCATATGTCTGTGAGCATCGCTCTTGACTTGTGTGCTATACGAAAAAAAAAACACCTTTGTATCTATTCTACAAAAGGGTATTTCAGGTGTACAAAATGGCTTTACACTTAAGCTATTTCAGTAAAACAAAAGGAAAACAGACTAAGGATTAGAGCATATTTGTAGTAATTTGCACCAGATCAACCTATCAGCTTCCTACAAGAAATCTTGAGAAACTCTTCATTAGTAGTGCTGCACAATACTGTATTGGGCTGAAGATGGGAAAATGGCATCCAGCATTGTCCAGACCCTGACATATATTGCAATAGCTACTTACAAATGCTACTGTAGAGCTCCCTCAGGGAAATGCATTTCTACCCATTATGCGTTTTCAGATTATACCCAACAACTCCAAAGTTGGCAGATATATTCTTACTGCCTCATCCAAATGTTTAAAATGGCAGGACAAAAAACAAACGAGAGTTCTCCATCTTTGACTAATGCTTTATTAATAAAAAGTAAACTCCAAGAATAAGCAGAACTTTCTAAGCATGACTCCAGTTTTAACGCCAAGTTAGCTAGAATAGCATGGAAAGCTTTGATACATCACCTTCACTGTATGTAAAAGTTCAGAGACGCTCCAGTTTAAGTGCTCCATTTTAAATACAGGAATTTCTATGCACAACATTGAAGAGCAAAACCCCATGCCAGAGCTTAGCAAAGTTCTCCCAGCACAATCTTACAGGAACAACACTTAAAACTTTATTCACCAATATAGCATGATGCACTTAGATTTGGACTACAGTGCTTTTACAGCACACATGAATGCTATGCATTACAAAACCCTCAATAAATAAAGATTTATTGCTTTTTTTTTTTTTAAATTAAATTAGCCGTGTGTCAACTGTATTTAAATCACTCATTTTGTGGTATTTCTTCTACAAATGTTTTCAGATGACTTCAGAATTCTCAGCTCCACCACACAAAAAAAGCAACCAAAATCCACCACACATTACAGCAGCTGTACTGCCTAAAGTTTCATTTTGCCACCTAATCTTCAGCTCCCTCCTCACCATTAACATATCAATTACTAAAGACAAGGAAACCAATGGCTTTGCAAGTGACTTTTCATCACACTATACATATCTATTCTGTACAAAGAAGAGACATGCACAGAGGATCTGGAGTCATGAAACAGATGAACATATCTAATAGTTCTGCTGCAACATAGCTTTGAATTGATAACTGATCTGAGCACATCGGGGATCAAATACTTCAAACTGAGCAAGTGTTTTCCTGTTATAGGGAAGTTTTAGAATAGGTGTATGTTTTGCTACTCAAATTCATGAACCCCAAATCTGGTTTCAGTCATTTCTTCAACAAGAGAGTCAACTGACTCAGAGACAAAACACATACATTGAAGATTTTAGAAAAAGCTGTCACATTACTGAAGATTCAACCTTATGTTGAAGAGATTTTGTTTTCCCCTAGACACTATTCTCAATTTTAAAATGTTTCTAGGACTTTATCAGAATTAGTCTTTTTTTTTTATTATTATTTCAGACCTGAGCAACAGGATTTAAAAGAAACAGTTTGGTATTTGCATTCTCATGAAATCTGGAAAAACTAGGTCTAGACTTTGAGCCATTAGATACATACTAGACAGGAGCTGTTCTACAGGTAGTTCCAATTACAAATTAAATTATTCGTCATTTTCAACTGGGTTCAATCCACACTACTCCAGAAGAATGGTTATTAACAAAGTAAGTATCACTGTCAGTCACTGGCTAAGAGTTATTACCAAGCACTAGCATTAGTCTGACGTCATAGGCCTGGCCTAGTATTTTAAAGCTAAAAACACACACTTTGCTGAAGCATTACAGTAATTCACAAATGAGATATGAAAGTCCCCAAAATAGTATGGAAACAGGTTTGCAGTGCCAGAAATCAAACTATTTTAACTGTCTGCCAAACCACTAAGGGAAGCCTACTTTCACAACTCTCTAATTACTTTTTGAAATGCAAAAAGTGAGTATTATTCTTAGACTTCCGACTCCAAAGCTACGTATTTTCCATCTTGCTGCATCAATAGTATTATGCTGTTTAGTTCCAATTTGGGTGCTACACTACCATCAATCTGGCTTTGACATCAGCAGATGAAACAGCTGCTCTGCTCCAAAGCTTCTCCATTGGAGGCAAAGAAGAAAAAAAAAAAAATATGGTGACCACGCTTCAAAAGACAACCTAAAAAGTTTGCTAGTTCTCACGCATCATGCTGCAAGCTTCTAAGGTCTTCCATCCAGTGAACAAAGTCATATTCTTAATCCTTTAAAAGCAGAAGCCATTCAATTCTCTAATGATTTTTCTGGCTTAAATGGCTGTTGTTTTTTTTTAACAGAATATTGTTGTTTCTGCTCCATATTTAAAAGAGCATTTCTTTTCTCAGTAGAACAAAGATATTTCAACTCTGCATTCTGACAGAAACCAACACATAGGCTAGTTACCATTTTTCAACAGAACACATCCAAGAAACTGTTCAAGGGTAGCAGCCCGTTGGATTTGCTAATATCAGTGTGTTTTGAGAACTTAAAGGGAATTGTTATTTTAAAGAGGCAGGCACGGGACATGCACAAGCCACATGACTGCCTAGAAGGTCTCCTTCAATCACAGGAGCAGCTGAACCAAGTCTTGAAGATGGCAACAACACATTGCCAAATTCAGACCCTTCACTGAGCCAAACAGGTAGAGACAGACATTCCTGGATAACAGACCTTCCAATAAAACAAAAGAAAAACCACACACACACAACCACAATACCCAGGAAACACATAACATTCTTCAAGGACCATCCGACATTACAACTATGCTGATCTCGTTACAACATGCGACCAAAGAGAGCAGATCCTGTTTTCCATTCCAAAATTTTCACTGAGGCAGCACTGGCAGTCCTAGCACCTGCTCAAGAACTTGTTCAGAGGCTGGGCTAGTAGAAAACCAGCGTTACCAAAAAAGTTCAATAGTTTTTAAACTGTTTTGAAACTATCTTGTGCCAGTTTAGCTCCCTGAACCAGTTCACGAAAAAGCCAGAGAAGCACTGAGTACTGGCTCAAAGACATCGAAAAGTGCACAGGTGAGGAACGCATCTATTCACAGCAGTTAGACCAAACCAGCTCCAACTTCAAACTATGTTCTAACTATCAGAAAGGCTGGACATCATCACTGTCCTAAGGCCTGGCCTAGTGCCATGTTAGCATTTTTCTGGTAAGCAAAGTACAAAAAGTACTTTTGCACAAAGTACAAAAAAAGGAGGGTAGAGCAAGGACACTAATTCAAGGCCTTTTAGAAGATTTCTGGATGAACATTAGGTATTGTAGTCCTTATGTGAAAGTTGCTCCTCTACAGAGAGACAGACAGGCAGTAAAATTGAAACACTTTCTGGAGGGAAAGTATTTTCACAGGTGACCCAAGCTATGCAATGGTTAGAGCTGGACTGGGACAGTGAGGAACATCACATTAGCCAACATTAGTAAATTCTGCAGTCTACATTTGAGATGTGTGAAATATCCTACAATTTAATCTTTGGATTTGCTTTTAGAAGCAATTACGTCTTATCTAGGCTGTGTAACATGAGCTCAGAGGAGTTCCTATCATGACCAAATACAGGATGCTACCATGAATGCACAGACACCACACATCTGTAGACAAAATGAATTCTTATACTTAAGACATACAACCACATCCTTTTATGCAGTTACAGAGCATATTTAACATTTAACAAGTGTTGAAAGTTATTGTAGCTGGTGCTACAGATGCAAGTTTACACTAGTTTATAAATAATTAACAAATTCTCCCCTTATATTGAAGAATAAGAGGCATAAGTGAAGCAGGTGGGCAATGTAACTCAGCAAATTAACATTATTTTGCAACCAAAATTAGAATTTCAAATCCTAAAGCTGAAGTGTCCCCTCCAGGGATATTTGTATGCATACACACTTATACTAAACTGTTTTAGTCCCAAAACATGGTCAAAATACAATCTTATTTTTAGTCTTAAGAAAAAATGTTTTCTCATATTGCCCCACAAATCATCTTTCCCCATTAGTGGTGAACCCCATGAATCCATTATCTATTTGCTTTTCAGCAGAAAAAAAAGAATACTAACTCACGAAAATTCTTAAAAGGGGCATAGAACTTGGCTTCACACATACAGAGAAATGCCATTTAACTCATTCCCCCTTCATTACACAGAGAACCAAAACCCATCTCTTTGTGAAGCAGGCCAGAAGTTTCCATTAAAATATCCGATCACTCCACAGAACAACCTCTTCTACAGCAGCTTCCAGTACATCAGAAGCTTTATACTTAACTCCAGGGCCTTCCTGTGAGCCACTAAACTGCATCTCTCTGAACACTTTTCCCCCATTTCAAAATGAGAAGTTGTACAAGCAATTCAGGTTTCATAAGGAAGAAGTGCTTATCCATTCCAACTCAAAACACTCTAGACAAGCTCGCTCTGTTCACGGGAACATAATTTCATTTCACACTGCAGGATTAATGAAATGTATCACTGGATTGGAAGATCAAGAAGCCTTTATTCTAGGCAGGTTTTCACACTAAGAAAATCCTATTGAGACCATAGCACTTTAATCAAAAGACATACTTCATAAGCATTATTAAACAATCATCTCTACAGAGTACCAGTGTTTAAAGCAATTTAGTATCACCTCAAAAACTGAGAATTTTTTCTTGAGAATGATAGTACACCACTCTGGTAATATGCCAAGTTCACCACTGTATGGGATGTTCTGGAATATATTACCCGCCTTTCACTAAAGCAGCCCCAGTAAGGTTTGAATGGTAACCACATTACATCATTTGTATACATGTAAAAGCAGTCCAGAGCATTCTCTTGGAGACCTAACACATTACAAAGAGCAAGTTTATCCTATTGCTATAGTCTACTGCTAAACATGTCTGAAGATGAACACACAGGCCAGGTATCCCATTCAACTGAATTTTACCAGGTCTGTGTTCCATAAATTCCACTTCTGTCTACATAACCAGGTCAGCAATTGGTTCAAACTGCTAACTCCAAATGCAAAGAAATTCAAGAACAGGAAAAAGCAGAGTAATCATAAGTATTCTAGAAATGTAAATTGTTTTGCCCAATTCCTGCTTTAGAATTATGGGAAGATACAGATGCACTTTCCAAAAGCACTTACAATTCTTAACTTTCAAAATCAATGACACCTGAGGAACAGAACTTTTTACAGATTAAAAGGTACCAGGGCCAGAAGAGCTCAAGACTAAAAGTTACTTTAAAATAAAAGCATACTTAAGAATGGAGTTTCAAGTCTGAAGAAAGCATTCTCCTACTTTGGAAATTCCATTCCATTTGAAATTCCAGGACAGAAGCTAAAACCTCCCAGCATTCAGAAAGAAGCTATAACAAAACCCGGGCTAACCTCAAGGCCCAACAAGTCATTCGTACATACAACTTGAGGTGCAGCTAGGACAAAAAAAAAAAAAAAAAAATCTCAAAAAAGGTTACAGTTCAGGCTCTGTAATTAATGACATTGTTTTATTTCTCCAAGAATTTTCAGGCAGGTTGTTTCAAAAACTTTCATTCACTGACAGCTCAATTCAGGTCTGCTCTTAACTTTAACTCTTAAGCACTGCTATTGCTACAAAAGGAACACAGTAGTTTCTCACAAATGGATTTAGTTTCATCTTAACCAAAAGTTAAGATTTATCAGCTCTACTAACTACACAAATCAAATTAGACATGTTAAGTTTTATAAGGTAAGATACAAGGTAAAATTAACCAATTTATAACCTGCATGAATTGCTTTGTCACGATGCATTACTTTGTTGTACTGAGTTTCAGCTTTCTGCACCCATATTTTACTAGTTACATGTCACACAGGAAAGTCACATCAACTAAAGGAATGACTGGAGTCAGAATTAAGGAAACCTCAATTTAACCAGTCATCTTCTCTCCCAGGTAATCAAACTGTCTGAATGAGCTCTGCAGCAGTTCTTTTGCACCAGCCAGTGTCATCAGTCAAAAAAAACCCACCAAGCACCACCACCACAGACCAGATGAAAATGGATTAGAGATAAAACATTGATTCTCCCTCCTACACCAAGACAATGACTTTTTAAGACTTATAATTACTGAATTATATCCTGTATTTGGCACTTGTTCAGTTCCAAACTACCAAGTCTACCTCTGTGATATCGCCTATTCTACTACACCTCTCTTCACCAGTGGACAGTAGTAAGCTTCAAGCTACTGACTCCTTACTTTCTTCCTGCCCTGCCCCTACAGCCAAAAACTTTAGAACAACTTCCAAATGATGAAACTAAGTGCTTATAGTTATTATTTTTATTAAATTATTAAAAGCACACAGAAGACAACTTCAGGGTGCGCTCTAAGTTTCTTAAAAGGACATAGCTGTGTTTGAGCCTTAGCTGAAGCTACTCCCCCTACAAGCCTGCAAGCCTGTTTCCAAAAGCAGAATGAACGTGAAACCTTACTTCCACTTTCAAGACGAGCTATGCTTTGGCTGTCAACCTATAGTTGTTTTTTTTAGTTTTATAGTTGGAAGGAGCAGGGGGAAAGGTGAGAAGAATAATCACAAAAATGTGGAAGTCTCCCTTTACACATGTGTCTTCATCCACATTTACAGTTATGATTTAATCAATATAATTTCAGAACCTAAGCACTGGCAGTAAAAATCTAAAGCACATCTTAGCATTGTTAATAAAAGCTCACAGCAGAACACAGGAATTTGGAATAACTTTAATGAGTTCCAAAACCAGCTTTTAGTAAAAAGCCAAGTATAGAATGGTGACAGCATTTAAAGTAGTTGTACTTAATGTTTTGAAGCCCAAGTTATCATGACTTGACGGAGAGCTATGCAAACAAGCACTAATCCTGTACCACAGGGGTGCCTCCATTGCCTATAGCTAATGTCTAAAATTCAACACACAGTGCAAGCTATAAGGGAGGGAAAGGAAAAAAACAAAAACAAAACATAGCATTTATTTTAAGACTTCCAGATTCCTTGCAATGACAGAAGACTGGGGTTTACCCTACACTGAGTTTCCAGTTCCAGCAATCTAGCTTCATATCCACTTACATGAATTAAAAGCAGACTTTGTGGTATCTCACTGCCTAAAAGAATGAATGGTCATTAAGAGGTAAGACTATGCATTTACTTAGTGTTTCCATTTTTAAGTCATTGACTGCTTACAATTTCAGAAAGTCACAAAAATCTACTGATGCTACCACATGGACCACAGAGCCTACCAAAAAAATGACAGCGTGCTGGTGGGGCAGCATATGCAGTCCAGACAGGCTGGAGAGAGCCTCCTGTGCCAAATACAGAAAATCAAAACCTCTACCTCAAAGCCAGGAGCTAACTTCAGAAGCTGCCTAGGGTTAGACCTCTTCAGGTAAGTTTGGCTTGTAAATCAGTAAACACTTAAGCAATGATGTTTCAAAACTTACCAGTCACACCTTCTACCTTCCCATGATATTTACAGAATTTCAGGTGCTCACCATCCCCCTGAGACCATTATCATGAAAGGGAACGACATGGTTTCATCATCCAGAAAAGCACAGATGGTCTTACTACATGATGAAAAGTTACTAGTCTAAATTTGAAGCTGAAAATTACTTACATGGGGACAGTCTAAATCTCAGTTAATCCACAAAGTTAAGAGAAGACAAAAATCCCCCCCTACCTTCACACTGGTTCCTTGGAAGAATCTTCCATCTTGTTTTTATCACATTTTCCAAGATTTGCAGTCCATAATACTGAAATTGGAGAAGAACAAAATGTGAATACATTACTGTAGGACTAAGTAACTAACTTTCAGGACTCTCATTCAATCAGACATTCACACTTAACATCTAAGACTTCAAGATTATTCAACTAACAGTTTTATTAAAATTATGTCTATTCACCCATTTACTGAGGTTTCATGCATTTCTTTTTTTCTTGTTTTATTCTTCACTATACTAAGTCCTGCTGTTTGATCATGCTCACACCGGGGGGAGGGGGGAGGCGAAAAAAAAATAAGCCCTCTGGCAGACAATTTTGTCTATCTGGAGAAGAGAAAGTAGCAGCCAGATATGGATTCGCCATCATAAATGACTGCTCATATGTTCAAGTATTAACACAACCAGGCTCCTAAAATATTTAGCAGCTTGGATGGTCTCAAGCTTACTATCGTTCCTCTAAGAGCTGGAAAAAAAAAAAATTTGTCTTAGTTGTCTTAGCATCACATGTCCTGACACTGACACTTTCTAAAGAAAGTATTTCACAAACTTCACTGGTGCATTACTTTAGGAACAGCAAGACAACCCACAGGTTTATTTAATTTCAGTGCCCACCCCAATACGGCCACTACTTCTACTATTTAAAGATGAACTTTTGTGCTCAGTCAAAGCATAATAAAAATGTGAATAAGCTCTTGGAAATCCTTTTACCTTTCAGGAATTCCTTCCTATGTTCTTACCCGGAAACCATTACGTTTGCAAAGTAATCGGTAAGGCCAGTCCCTCTGCCCATTTGTCCCTACTGCCAACTCACATTAACAGGGAAAGAAGTTTGTGATGGTATGATCAAAGAACTTTAATATGTAAAGCCCCATTAGCATGAATAGACAGGAGAGAAAAAGGGACGAGGAGTTTTACGTTTATCTGCAGTGGATTAGGAAGAAAAAAAAAAAAAATCTTATCAATGCCTGAAAGGTAAACTCAAGTGTTCACAGTCAAAAGTTTGGCTGAGAATAAGAGTTCCTCTTTAAAATGGTTAGTTGTTATACAAAACAGGATCATTACTATTTCAACCAAAGGGATCATATAAACTTCAGTTTAATTAAAAAACACAATGTAGACTGTCCCAAACTACATTGTATTAAAATACCATTTTTTTGCTGTTCTCATCTTAGCATAACCTACACCCCTTTGCTTCTCTACCTAACACAAGTTCCCATGTGCTTCCCGTGTACATCCTGCATTTGGAAAATATTCTGTCACCTTCCAAAATCTTGGGTACCAAGAATAATTATGCATTAATAGGAAGTTGGGTGGTATATTTTTCTTCAAGGTGAGCAGCAGAAGTTTAGCAACTCGACTTTCATCTGTAAATTTACTTAATTTCTTCACATAAAACCTAAATGAAATCATGGGAATATTCACATAGAAAAATGTATGAAAACATTCTTAAGCAAAATGCTTCACAGGAAGTGATTTCAGCCGCTGCTATACATTTAGATACCATCTGCACCTGATCCAGGCTCACAATACAAAACATACTTACAAAAGCTTCTAAAAAGGTTGAAAGCATGAACATTGATATCACACAGTGCTAACTTTCCTGAACCAGATCTAAATTCTAGTTAAATTTCTAAATTCTACAGGCACATGTGTTAGTAGCTCTTCCAGGTAACAGCTAACCAAAGACATTCGTTTTGCGTCCAAACTTTTTTCTGTGCGTCAACTTATTTGCCTTTTAAGACCAGAATGGCAAGTCTGTTTTCATTTTACAAAAGCGCTAGATGACCAAACAAAACTTAAATGAAAATCCTGACATAAACTAAGGTCAGACCTCATCTTTAGCCTTTTCGTTTCCACACAGTCAAAGAAAAGGACAGACACCTCTAGCAATTTGCCACACCTATCCCTCATTATCTGCTCAAATATATAATTCACATGCCTTAAATTGTGAAGAGGTTCATGCTGTCTAGGTTTCTACTCCTTCTTGTCTATGTATATGACTTCAAGTCTGCCCTCTGCTAGTGTCTTGTTCATCTCTTCCTCAGTACTAGTAATACTCATTCTTCCTAACACGCATGAAATGAAATGGCAGCATTAAAAATCACTGCATACAACCTTCACCTACACATCTTTCTTGCCATACTATGTTTGAAGGCTTCATCAGTTTGCCTGAATACTCTGCAAGGGTCTTTCTGGGTTTATTTTGTTTTTCAGCTTCATTTGATTCAATAGTTCTTATTTTTGATACTTCCCTGATAACATCCACCAAGCCCAAAAAGAGTCACTGACGCAAATTACAAACTTTGCCATCTGAACTATCATAAGCATACTTTTTAAGCAACTATTGCGACAATGCATGCAAACACATTTAAACTGCACACAAAATAGAAGTCTTCCAGAATTCATTTGCTTTTGATCTTCTTATTTCTAATTGTCTAACAGCAATTCACTGCTCAGTTATGAAGATGAGGGACAGGTAACAGCAAAGACTGAAAAGAAGTATGAAATGATCCCTATGGTAGAAATTGCTATGGCACCCTTATTACTTATTCTATGCACCGAATCCCTTTCCCTCCCACCGCCCAAGAAACAAAAACAATTGATGAACAGAATTCAGTTAAAGGGAATCAAAAGGGTAGACCTTGTGGAGGCCTGCCGTCAAAGCCTAGCTGTGTCAGTTGCACAGGAAGACACCCCTTTTCTTCCTATTACAAGCAATCAACATAATGGAACATTATGATTAATATCAGGTAGTGTTAACAGCTTTAATTAAAGAAAAAATATGATTGCATAAAAGCCAAATGTCATAGTGCATAAATTTAGCACCAAATCATTTGCAATTTATGTAAATTGAAGAATTCTTTACCTGTTGCTTTCTTTCTGTTCCTCTAATCATCTCATTTTTCACAAGACAAATTTGAGTTTTTAAAAATACTGTTGATAAATCAACTTAAACATTAGTAATGTCTGTCAGTATAAAAAGCAAAGTTTACCAGGCAAGCAAACAGGCAAACACTGTTACTTAAAGGTTAGCACTTTGAGGAAGTTCTTTAAGCTGGTTTTCCCTAAACTTCAGAGAGCAATGAAAAAAATTGAACTGTTTCATGAGTATCGCCTGATTCCAGAAACTATCCAAACACGATTATGTTCTGTTCGAACACAGCATGTATCAAGCATAAAAACATGCATGTCAGTTATCTGTGATAATAATCATCAACTTAAAAGACAGTGAAAACACATTTCGATCAACTTTTTGGTTCAAACTTCAGAAGTCTTAGGTAAAGCACTTAAAATGGTAGAAAAAAAATTCATGCTGCCCCTTTTTAGTCTCTACCATGATGGAAGAATTTAAAACAGCAGTACAAAGCAAATGTGTTCTGCATATCAGTAAAGACTAATCTCATACTACAGAGAGTTTGGGGTGCTTAACTTTCATTGACTGCTCAAAAATGTTGGCCTAATAAGGTTTCTATTTTTCCTTTAATATACCTAGGGACAAATCCTCTCCTCAGTTGCGTGCACATGGCTCTTGTGATCAAAAACAGCCAAGCACTTAACCAAGGACAAAAAGTGGCTCTAGGAGACTTTTCATTACTCAGATGTATACAGACGCACACCAGCCTTTGGAACTGGCACTACACTTGTATGTGCCTTGAAAAAACCCTGTATTTCCAATTTAGCTCTTACTTTTTTTTTTTTTAAGGAGAAAGAAATTCTTGTCAATGTAAAAGGAGGTGTAAGTATTTTGTCCATTTACAGTTCTTGTTTAAAGTCAACTTTGGGAATAAGACAATAAAAAAAAGAGGGGCCTGAATCAAGAAAGCGTATGGCTAAAAATGAGATACCTTCCTCAAAGTTTATGAATGGAAGAAAGAGGAAAACCAAATAAATAAAAGCTAATTTTCTTACTTTGGTATTCATGTTCTGAGAGAACTCCAAAATAGTATCAACTCTTGTCCACGCATCAGGATGTTCTTTTAAGTGAGTCAAGACTTCCTGTGCCATTCTTTGCTAAAAGCAAGTTTGATTAAAAAAAAGTATTAGTATTGGATTATTTAAGCAATTATATACTGTCAGTGAAGACACCAATATATAACACATCTTTAAATCACTTATCCAAGTTAGGTAGAACTCAAATAAGGAGCAACAAGTCCTTTAAGCCTCTGTGTGACAGTTAAAGTTTGTTAACAATCAAACTCCAAAAAGGCCTTGATGCAAGACAGTCATTTACTTACTGCCACTTTTCCATACCGAATGATTCGTCTAGACCAGCAAGGAACATGTGAGAACAGCACATGTTATAGGGAAAACACACTAGGGAATGACATTCTCTCCCATTCAATAAAGCCATCTAGATAAAATTTTTCTTCAAGAGCACCTGAACTTTCTAGTTCTACTGAAAGCATTCACATAAAATGACAGCTTTGAAGAGTATTGTATCATGCTGCAAAGTTTTTGATGTAGGAACTGTTGATTTTATTTTGAAGAACCACAGAGCAGAGCATTAGAGGTCTCCAATCCCTGCTTCTGAGGAATCCCTTGATGTATCCCCTCCACATGACTGGGAGGGATGAAAGGACTTGTTCATGCTAATGGTTTGTTCTTCCATGGTTTCAGTAACTTGCAAAACCTCCTGTGAAGCAATTAAACACTGAAATAACTGAATTCATTTCAGCTATCCTTTTCAAAAGCCTGGCTGTCCATACACTTTTTTTTTTTTATTTTAGGGAGCCAAATGATGTTAGCCATTTCCAAAAATGCAGTGTATTCACAAATCTTGCTGCAAATTATATCACATACAAGCATCAGACAGTCTTACCAACAAGATGAACATTTTACATCACAATTAACAGAACTTAGTTCATTCATCCACTGCACTGTAAAGCCAATTCAATGGAATTACAAAGCAGTTAAAGCTTTACTGTAGGATTAACTTCATCAGTTACAACTTGCTACAGCTATGCAGATTTCTAGTCTGCTATAAGACAATACTTGAGCTAATCATCTGTAAGAAAACATGTATTTTCAGTAAGACAGAAACCCCATCAAGACCCCAAATCTATATACCCATAATGCAAGAAAGACAAATTGGGTATAGGATTTACCGAACTAAAATTGAAAGCTACAACAGTAAAGAACAAGGATGTCTAAAATACCTGTGTAATACTGGCATCCCTACTTAATATAGTTGAGCATAGTGGAGCAGTTCCCAGTCTGATACTGACTTTGACTAGCAAGTAAGTCCCTGTAGATTTGATGTGGAGTACCACCACACAAATACTCGAAGTCCAAAAGCAGTTCAACCATATTCTCACAGTATGACATCAGAGCTTAAAAAAAATTTAAAAAAAACACACTAGGATTTTTGATGCAGTTTAGTGTAAGAGGGAAAGAACAGTTATATTACTTCAGGTTCAACCTGGCTGTGTTTTTATACAGGCTTCCTTATTGCTTCTAATACTGGTGACATAGCACAGGACCAAATTTCAACACCAACAACAATACAGATGCTCAATATCTTTCTCCCAAACACTGAAAGCTTCCCTCTAATACCCACTAACCCCTTTTCTGAACATCAATTCCTGTAGTTTCATAAAAACAGTATAAATTTAACAGTAATGCTTAATCATGATTGAAGCCTCACTGTGTTGTTCCTACCAAAAAGAAAATCAGTTAGCAAATAATCCTTCTGGACATATGAAGGTCTAACAGACCAATGGAACTAAGAGTCTGGGATGAGTCCAGGTAAACTTCCGCAAGTTGTCTGAAGTCTCCTTAGTCATGTGTTTCACTGGGGGGGGTTGGAGATATCCTATCTTTTCAGAAGTATACCAAAAAAAGCTAAGAACAGAAAAAATTTTAGAAGTCTAAGACAGAAAAGAGCTCTTTCTTGCCTCATAAAGATTAGCAGATAAAAGTTTTGCAAGCAGAGATAAGAATTAAGCAGGAGGAAGAAATCTGTGAAGTGAATCTGAAAGCAAGTTCAGCATGGGTCATCCAGCCTGCATTCTAAACCTTTTTTACCCTAACACTACCCTCATCTGTTCCAGGCAAGCCACTGCTCATTTCCTAATTTTAATATTTAGTTTCCTCAACTTCCATTATTCCTGTCACAGTTTAAGTCATGATTTGAGCTGTCAGGCTCCAGAGAGATGCATGTTTTCCTGCAGGAACTTTTGAACTTCTTGGAAGCGGTGAGAGCTCACAGGCTCACTGAAATATGCCTCCACCTTTGGAAAAGTACTAAAATAGCAAACCGAATTTTCATTAAAGTGAAAAATATTAGTACATTTATTTGAAACAGGTGTATATCATAATTCACTTTCACCAGTTAAGCACCACCTCTTGAATTTTTGCTTCTTATTGCATTAATTTGCTAAATACCAGAGACTATACCCAGCTGTTTAAAGCGAAGCAACTTCTCACAGTACTAGAACAATGGCAATTTGATCATTGTATTTAGTGTTAATCCTCTATTCCCCTTATAAACCTTCCCAACCTTTTAAACTCCATTCAAACCAAACAATACTGTAAGCACCATCTATTTGGTAAGGCAGTACAGTACACAAGCATACCACTTACAAAACAAGGACTCAGAAGTCCCTACTTCTAAGGCAAAAGTTACAAGCAGTTTTCTGTCATATGAACATTTAAGAAACTACAGCTAGTAACTATTTGAATTTAGGAAACTCAAAACACAAATATTCCAAGAAACAGCTAGGTATTTCAGAACCTGTAGGAAGTCACATTAATAAGCCTTACAAAAGCTTTTTTTTTTTCTTTAAAGAGAGATACACAAAGCAAGTATATTATTGTTTATTCTAACAGCTGGAAGGAATAGAAAAGCATCAGCTACTTTGCCTCATTTTAATTCACTTCTTATTGTTGTGCAAGAACTTCTTAGTAAAAGATGCCTGACACTGAAACTCCCAATTTGTTAAGCATGAACAATTAAAATTTGCCAGAAGAGGAACTATGCCACCATCCCTGTAGCAATACTTGCTTTCAACATTTAAGTCTTATTTCCAAAGTAGTTCAAGAAATAGATAAAAGCAATACCAGATTCACTTTCAAGACAATATATGCAAACACACAAATGTACACTTTCCCCCAATTTGAACTTAAGACTTCACAACCCACACTAAGTCCAGAGTGCGAGAAGAACCTGTGCAGACAAACAGTAAGGGGAGGGGGTGGAATCCTAGACACAAGAAAGGACAAACTGTTCTCTTAAATGTGTGACATGCTTCTTTATAAGTACAAATGCAGTAATAACATCACCAGGATTTTTCTTTTAAATACAATCCTTCAGTGAAACCAACATTAAATTCATGGCTTCACAATCCATGGTAATAAATTACAGGTAACTCAGACCTTCCTGAAGAACCAAGTCAGAAAAGGGGAGCTGCAAGCAGAAGTGCCCTTACCAAACTGTACTTGCCCATACCTTTCAAGAGCAGAAGGCACGCTAGAAAGGAACACACACCGAACTAACATTTTTGTAAGTGTCATTTCAATGTTCCTTACATGAGGCTTGCCTTTAAACCAGGGCATGTGAAGCACCAGTGATATTCCAGTCACTAGCAGAGTAAGTTCACTTATTAATATTACTAATCTTTATTGAAGTAAATTAATTTTGCTCAGATTATTTGTTACAAGGCTAAACGTAAGTGCTAAGTCCACATTACCTGCGCGCCTTCTCCATGGTACAAGCAGTTCACCACATTGTCCAAGAGATTGATATCCAGTTTCTGGTTAAAATCCAGCAGCTGACGAGCTGCATGGTCTGCTAACATTGTCATAATTGCTGGCATAGATTACTGCAGAATAAATAAAAAAGTTTTTGATCAATTAATAAGAAATTATTATCAGATGTAGCTGTAAAGCAAGCGCTTCAACTTCAGCATCTCATTTGAATGAGATGAGCTATGTTAACAGTACTAGATAGCACTGAATACAACACTCCTTCAATTGTCAAGCAAGTAGCAGGACGAACCCTTCCTGAAAAATTCACACATCACTACCCCAACTAAATTTTCAGGGTCTTCAGCAGCTATAACACATAACAACAATCTGATTAGCCAATGGTCTGTATCATTAGCAACTAAAACTTTTTTCAAAGCAGGTATCAAACCGTACCAGTCCCCAAACACGTGAAAACCAGTTTGATGGTAGAAATACCCAGCATCATTACAACCAAAGCCCATACTTGCAATCTCAGTCGAATTTTCAGTTTCTGAGGTCAACGGGCACATTTAGAAGATCAGTTCCAAAAGCTTATAAACAGTTGGTTACGGAAGTGAAATGTGATCTACATACACGGTAAGAAATGAGCCAGAGGGCGTTCTTCGAATACTTGGGGAAAAAAACCTTACAAGTTAACTACATATAAGCAAAAAATGATCAGTGAAACTAAGAAAGTTGACTGTTTGAAGGCACTTTGAGAGAATGAAGTAATGGGACTGTTAAGTCAGCAGGTTACTCCATGTAGCATGTTAGATCACCTCAAACGGAAATGGAATTCTACTGGAAGTTTCAGGTCCCATAAAACCAGCCACACATGCATTAACTCTTTGTCCTAAATATAGCAGCCTCGATATTATGCAAAGGAAGCCAGGTGTGATTGTGAGTGTGCATGTAAGATGCTTACCAGCCAGACACCGATAAAAGATAAAGGCAATGGCAAAAAAAGCAAGAAAATCGTGGATGGTAAATTATACACTAGCCTTTTCACACCACCCCCCAAGTTGGAAGCACCTGATAAAGTGCATTGCCCTCTTCCCACAGTCACTGGCAACTGTAACACATATTCCTTCCCTCTGCTCTACAGCAGCTATCCTGCCATTCGCCCTCCTTTTCAGGATCTTTGGTAAAGCTACAAATTGCATGTAAAACTTGCTCACTAGAATAATAGCCAGAAGTCTGGACAACTTGCAAGATTGCTCAAAAAGTTACACTAGAGCTATCTGTATAGTCAGAAAGATACAATCTGAAACTTGTCCTGAAACACCCCCAATACGCCCAGCCAACCCATTCATTATAGTAAGCTAGAAGTCAGATCGGCTCTTACTAAATAACTTCATGTGTAAGTAAGAATTTGTTTTATGCCTTAAATATTTTAAGTCACAGTCAAAAGTAAAGAGCAAGACAAACCTGTGCCTCAACCCAAGTAATTACTAATTAATTGAAAGTCCTATAGCAGCATACAGACAAGGAAAACCTTTGTTTAGAAATGCATATTTGCAAGTACTGTCAAGCAATTTCATTTACCTTTACACAGACATTAATTTCAGAAAACAAACATTTTAATTGTATTTTGAAGTAAAAAAACCTCATTTAGTTAGTGTTACTATGCTAACGTAATCATTTTGATGGCTCCATCTCAACATGCAGTCAGTCTTTTTACAACACCTACCTGGAAAAACAGAAGGAAATGAACATCAAGCAGAAACAAATTAAAGCGAACACGATCTGTCCTTCCTCCCCTGCCCCAACTCCTAAAGTTTTCAAAATTGCAATGGTAAGAACGAAAGCAAGAAAGAAAACAGCAAGGAAGGCTGATTTCAACCTTTTAACTCAGAAGGACACTTGAAGAATTTCATCTCGCAGAGGGGCGGCAAGCAGCACTACCAGGGAGAAATTGCACCAATTAATAACGCTCTTCAGCTTAGAGCGGTTAAAACTCCCACCAGACACGCGTGCTTTCAGGCACACCCCTTTTTGTTCACATCTGGCCTCCATGGCTGAACCGTGAGCTGGGAAAGCGGTTTTGAAACTACAATAAACGTCATAAATCAGTCGTTCCTCAGGTAGGGCCATTCCCTTCACATTTAAGCCTCTTTCGGTGTTTTTTTACGCAGCCCTAAGAACACAAACGAGGAGCCACGTGACGAAGAGAAGTTATTAACCACATGGAAGCAGAAAGGAAATGTTTTGAATAGGGCCCTTCGCCACTCCCAGCATTATCTTCAAAATGACCTACCTACTCGCAAACTGAAATACAGAAATGGCGGCTTTGTGGTCAATACCAACTGCAATCAACTCGATTTCCTACCCCTAACAACGTACCCACGTGAAGCTTATAATCTCGGTTTTACTATACTTCTATACTATTTTCCCCATCACACCTGAACCCCTGAACAGGCTTAAACCTCATCCCTGAGAGCCACCGCTAATTACTCAACACTGCCAATAAATAGGGAAACAGAAACAAAAGAGGAAAAAGTTTAAGAAAATAACCTCAACTACAACATGGCATGAATCTGACATCTACCGAAGGTCAAAAGAACTGCATTTACAGCACTTTACGTATTTATCCCAACTGTCGATGACCCTGGACCTTAAGTTTAACACAACAGTTATCTTATTATGATATACCCGATTAATTGAAGCATTAGTAGTGCACAGGAATAACAGTATAGACTGTAATAGTAAGAAATGTTGTATATTCACAATGAACCCTAGAGCACCCTCAACCCAGCTACTTAAAGCTCATTGGGGGCAAGCTATTAAAAAAAACAACCTAGGAGAGGCATTCTGCCCCATCCCTAAACGTGTGATTCCGCTACTGAACGCAAGTGAATTACCGCCCCGCTCCCTCTTCCAACGAATTAAGTTGCATCACTTGTAAATTCCTCCAGCTGCACGACACGAAACGGAGCACATCACCAGCGCATTCGCACTACACTTCACACACCAGCAACCGCAACGAAAACGATTCCTTCCCCCACCGCTTTACACACGTGTGTGACGCGTACGAGATGAAGTAAAACAGCTCCGCCGACATCTGCCCTACGCCTCGCAGCATTCATTTTCGGCATGGCCCCGCCCGACACGGAGCGCCCCCGAAATAATTCGCACCCACCCAG